ATATATATATATACATAATATATATATATATATATATATTATAGGTACAAACTTGGGGATGTATCAAAGCAACATGAGTCCACATAGGCACATATAGCCAATGTATCCTGGGAGAGTATGGCTTTTATCGGTAGGCAAATGGTAGGCCAGGAGGTCTCCCACCGAAACGTGTCGGCAGGTGCTTCAACGTCATGCTGACATTGCTCCTAAGTACCCTTGATTTTGTTCGCTGGCGGGCGGGTGATTTGGGGGATGGGTTCACAAAACGTCACATCCGTGGCAAGAACCTTTTTTTTTGGTGCCCAAATGTGATTTGCATGTTTTCTTTTTATATCCGTACCAATTTGACAAGGGGTTTCTCATGTTTCTGCCTAGATGGACAGATGGTTTGGGTAAAGCATTTTTTTCACTTTGGCCAATTCCATGTTTTTTGTTGTGTTTCCTAGACTTGGGGTCCCCCAAAACATGGGTTTTCCTGTGGAATTTTGGAATGCCAGTAAGTTGCTTCTGATTTTTTGCAGTCTTCCATGCGACCACCGAAGATTCACAGTGGTCACAGGTGGTTTTTCAAACCCATGGCACCCTCCGGTAATTTGTTACAGTTTGCGACATAGAAAATGACCATAGAAATAGTGGATTTACCCAGCTATAAAATGGTGATTTTCCATAGTTATGTTACTTTACCAGAGGGTATATATATTTACATATGTATAGACTGTATAGAATATACATGCACACCTATAGGACATCGACTGATATGATTGTTGAAGACCTGCTGATCAACGCCAATGGCTTTGCAGATTGGGACCCCACAACATGGAGCTCTTAATTGTAATTATTGTTCATTATCTGAAATGATCATAGTCACAATATTTTTTCAGATAATGTTAGTTCCCTATCATCATTGTTCCCATTAACATTGCTAAAAGATGCCATCCTAGTTATTCCCCAGTCATAGCGCGTTGATCCCTTAGGTACCTTTATCTCCGTCTCGTTGGTGGCTTTGGCTTCTCGGCAACACGTCATGTTGGGGGGAGATATTGAAGTACACACATGGGGAGATCGTCAGCCTGATGCCCTGTTTGAAACCAGGATCAACCAGGTCATTTCCAGCTGTTCAGTGGCTTGTCAAATTGAAAGTGGAGAACGACTGGGCCCTTTTTGTTTGACCATCCATAAATTGCTGATAAATTGTGATTCACAGCGCATGTTGACTGAAATTCCGATGAGGCTTTTCTAAGAGGTTTCTCAATCTACCAAATGGTCTCAATCCCGATGAGTGAATCCATGGCCACCAGAGGTGAAAGGCGATCTGCATGAGCCACACCTGAGCCACCGTCGCTTGCTTCGCCATACAGGATGGCTAAGTTGGTGCACTAATCACTCCAATTTCACAATGATGGTTTTATGATACAACATATACAAACATATTGAAATTGTTGGTTCATATACTATGTTGTATGGTTTATATATGATACAACCAATTTCACGATGGTTTGTGATTTGTGATACAAACATAACTATACTAGGTTTAGAAACCAACAAACAGAACTGGGGGCCCCACATTGCAAGGTAAATCGCATGTTCAATGTGAATAAATTGCTCAACATTCCTGGATGAAATCGCCAAGATCCCCAGGTTGGCGTCTATGGTGTGACCACTGAAGGAAGGTTTGGGGGTGGCCAAAAACCCGGGTAAATCGGTAACCATAACTCGTTAAGTGTGGTTTGTTATAGATACATCTACAGTTGGATGAGTTTGGAACCAACAAAAAAAACTCCAAAACTCGATTGTAGGGATACTGTCACAGTAAAACCCCAAAGGTGACGAGTCACAATTTGGGCTTAAAAAAAGAACGCTGTGCCACGGTGAGTAGGATGCAGCATGATATGTTCCGCTCATTTCTTGTGTCTCAAGAGACCGTGGCTGAAATAGGGGGCCTGCGATGGAACCAGCCTGATTGAGTCATGACATGTACATGTGTGTTTCTTCAGCAGGGGCTTCACCAGACCTTTGCCTCTGCAGGCCTTGAGCCTCTGGCCCGAGCAGTGAAATAGCGCAGCTGCCATCCGGTGTGGCACTGGTGTCTTAGGTGTTTGCCTATTAGTTAGGCACGTGAGTTTAGATCCCCTGAAGCCATACGATTGTGAACATCAACTACTACCTCTTTGGGGATAACTGCGCACTCCTGCTACCGCATTGGTAGCGGAGCGCCTGGTCGCTCCGGCGCTCTGAGACATCTCTTCGTGCTCTACGGCATTGGCCTACTTCATTGCCGAGGACGACGTCTCTGAGCGGACGGACTACAAGATCGAGGTCAAGATCACCGCGTTCTGGGGATAGGCTGCCTGAGCCTTTCAACGCGTTCCATCCTGTACCACCTCACCCGGACATCCTCAGACTGAGGAGGAGACGGACATCTCCTGAGAGGTTGGAACCTGAACCAGAACCAGAGCCGAAGGGCCGTGGTGATTTAGCATCTGCAGGTTCATCGTCTACTTCGACAGCTGAGCGTCGAGATCCTGGACGATCGGACACTGCTGAGGCTGCCTTGTGAGAAGCTGGTGGCATCGGCCTTGAACCTACGCTGTTCTCCTAGGAGTTGGCGGCATTTCTTCATCTTTGACTTTTTCCTGGGCATCCTTTTGAGGGAGCTCTTCTACATCTGGGACTTCATTTTGTGGTCCAGTGGACTTTTTGCAAGCCTGTGGCAACAATGGCTGACAGTAAGCCTCAAGCGGCTGAAATCGTTCCTTCATGGGACGGCAACCCAAGGGGTTGGCGACGATACCAACGAGAGGTTTCTTGGTATGTGCTTGGAACCAAGAAGTCTCAAAGGTCTTTGATTGGGCCCCGACTGGTGTCCAAGTTGACTGGACCAGCACGCCTGCTGGCAATGTCATGGAGCCGTGCAGACATAGCTGGACCTCAAGGAGTACAAGTGATGCTTCGCAAACTGGAGCAGAGCCCTTTGGTGAGAAAGAAACTGCCAAACACGGCAGCAGTGATGCAGCAGTACTTCAACTACCGCAGGAACCCTGGTGAATCCATCAGTTCCTACTTGGTGCGCGAGACGCTCTTCTACGAGGAGTTCATCGAAGCTCTACAAGATCTACATGATGGAGGAGCTGGTGCTTTTCTACTTGATGACCTACTTGGAGGCGCGGATGACGAAGATGATGATGATGGAGAAGTATCTCATGGAGGTTCAACTAAAAGTAAGAAGTCTGGCAAATCAGGCTACTCTCAAGTTCCTCAGGACGATCCTGACGATCCTGGCGACGGAGCTGATGGTGGCCGACCTCAAGCTGGACGACCTTCGAGATCTACTTCGCCTACGTTGTCTTCGACCGACTCTTTCATCCTCAAGACCTTGCGTGGATGGCGATTGCTGAGCGGTGCAGCTCTCAGTGGCGAGGAATGGAGATCCATCCTGGCCAGTACCAACAATCAGCTGAACTACGATGCAGTGAGCTCTGCATTGAACATCCTCTTTGACGAGCAGATGCAGCATCCTCGAGCGCATCATTCTGGACAAGGTCTTCACCACAACCTGCACACCGTCGAGGAGGACTCTGATTGGAGCTGGCAAGATGACTCTTGGGATTGGTCGGATCCCTGGACTAACATGGCATGGGAGAACGGTGACTGGCATGCGGCTGATGATGACCCTGGAGAAGAAGAATGTGCCGGAGCCAGTGACCAACCTCCTTCTGAAGGTTCTCAAGAAGCCATGGCAGCAGACCGGTCTTGGTCTCAGGCTCAGAGGACGAGCCAGCAGATCCGAAAAGATCGTGGGTTTGGTCAGTCTTCATCAAATCCTTCCTCTACGGGATGTTTCAACTGCGGTGGAAATCATCGAGTACGAGACTGCCCTGACAGAAATGCTCCATCAAACAAGGGTAAGGGCTATGGCAAGCACATGCACTACACCATGGACGAGCCCTACGACAACCTCGCCTTCTTCAAGGGGAAATCCAAGGGTAAGCCTGGTGGCAAGATGGCCTACATGTTTGAGGAGTTCTACAACTACTACGTTGGCAAGGGCAAGGGCAAGAACAACGTCAAGGGCAAGTTCCAGAGCAAGAATCGCAACCATGTCAACTCCTACTACCAGGAGGCTATGGACTTTCATGGACTCCAGATCGACAGGGAGCCCAACGAGCAAAGCTTAGATGCAGCCAAGGTAGAACAGGAAAACCTTGGACATTTGGGCATGCTTGACTGCGGAGCAACCTGCTCTGCTGGCCCTCAGTCTTCCATCCAGCGTCTGGTGACTGCTGTGTTGGATGTGGACAAATCGGCGTCGATCCGCATCGATGGAAAAAGGAGACCCAGATTCAGGTTTGGTTCGGGAAGTTGGGGCCGAGCACTACATCACGTGACTATCACATCCAGTATAACTCAAAGGTCCTTTGAAGCCTATACTCTTCCTGATCCACCAGAATCCCGAGAAGATTGGTTCAACCCTTCTATGTTGGTGCCTGTTTTGGTTGGAATGGACTTTATTCGGGGCAACGGGTTGGTCATGGATTTCAAGGACGGTTTTGCAGTTTGTGCAGCTTTTCCTGATAGTCAACCTTTTTTCATGCCCCAAAACACCAAACAGCACTACATGGTTGACATTGTGGACTTTCTTTGTTGCGGCAAAACTTTTCAAGAAGGGCATCCCACAATCCATGTCATTGAGTCCGAAGACCCCCAAGAAAACACCACCACAAAAAGGGTTCATTGGTTTGACAACTACATGATCCAGCCAGTGGGGGAGTCGGTCGCTTCATGTGTTGGAGAAGTTTTTACAATGGAATCTGAACTGGATTGCATGGTCGTTTCATCAACAGCAATAGCAGAATCTGACCATCACCTTTTTCACCAACTTTGGAAGCGTCGACGTGATCTCAATGGTTTTTCACAACAGCAGCAACGACAGCTCATGGGAAATCTGATCACCCCGTGGCTTTCCAATTCGACCAATGGCGCCCAAGAAGGTGGAGCACGAGATGGACATGGAGCGCCAGATGCTTCCCGACAGCCGAGATCCTCGAACTCAAACAACGACGTGGCCGTGCTTCAACCAGCATGTGGCCGGCAAGGATCAGGCAAACAGGTACGGGAAGTGGCACAACTGCACAGTGTGCGGACTTCGGATGCTCTACATTCCCTTCAAGGGAGCACCTTGCAACAGCACTTCGACGATCAACCCGGGCAACATGAACAAGGCCCTCAAGGAGCTGAAGGAGATGATGCCAAAAGGGCAAAAGCCCAACGAAGAACTGGTCAAGGTGATTCTCGAGAAGGTGATTGCCGAAGAACGTCTTCGTGTTCTCCTGGACAACTACAAGACCGACCTCAAGAAGAACCAGGAGAAGATCGCCAAGGCGAAGGCGAAGTCAACACCGACTTCGACAATGCCGAGTTCAGAAGGCTATGTCGCGGAGGAGCCCCAGTCCTCAAATCAGTCACCCAGCAGCTGGACGGAACTTCATCCAGAACCTGCTGCTCAAGCCGAGATCAATCCCATGGACTATCTCACAGAGAACGAGTACCGACGGGTGATGGAACTGGTGACCGAACGCATGGCCTCACAGGCAACTGCCTCAAGGGTACCTGTTCCGGACGATGTGGAACTGGAGCCTGCATACGACGAGCCGAGCTTGGCATGAATGAGATTGAGGAAGAGGAGAACCGCAAGAAGCTGCCGCTTCTTGTTGGACAAAAGATGATGGATATGATCCACGACCTCAACTCCGACTTGCAGAACCACATGGCCGACACCATCTATGACGGCAAGCCCTTGGTCTGGGAAATGTTTTGCCAGAAGGACTCCGAACTGAGCAAGGCATGTCTTCGAGAAGGCATACCAGTGCAACGAGTGAATCTTCACTGTGGCTTCGACCTCTACAAGGACGAGACCTATGATCGCCTCTGGACCCTCTTCAAGCATCAACGACCCAAGAAGATTTGGGTTAGCACCATGTGCACTCTGTGGTGCGACTGGGTCGACCTCAACTACTATGATCGACGAGATGTTTTGGAAAAACGTCGACGAGGCGAACGTCAGATGTTCAAGAAGCTGGTGCGCTTCTTGAAAGCCATTGTGAAGTACGACCCCGACGTGGAGATCTTCTGGGAATGGCCTCACCGATGCCGAGGTTGGAAGGAGCGCATCATTGAGGACTTTTTCAACAGCCTGGACCACTTCTATGACTGCCGATTGGATGGATGCAGATTTGGCCTCAAGAGCGCCAAAGGAAACTTCATTCAGAAAGCCTGGAGGATTCGCACTACGTCAGTGTCCTTCCATGCTGAATTTCGACTACGAGTATGCCTGGGCAACCACACTCACGAATGGCTTCATGGTGTGGAGACAAGCAAGAGCGCATACTACCCTCCAAGGATGTGTGCTTCCATTGCCCGGCATTGGCGAAAACATCTTCTACCTGACCGTTGGTGGCGACTACTTTGGTCCACCGAGTTGGTTGACGATCCTGCTGCTCGATCTCTACATGCTGCCGAAGTTGGTCCTTCTGAAGAAGTTGACGGAGTTCCTGAGGACGATAAATCAATTGAGCCTGAACCCAGCATCCTGGAGGAAGAACCTGAAGACCCTGGAGGAGACCAACCACCTGCTGGTGAGTTGGAAAAATGGAAGGCTCAACTACATCGTCTTCACCGTGCAGCTGGACACCCTTCAAAGCGCAATCTAGTGCGCATGGCTCAGGACGCACAATTGCCTGAGTGGAAGATTCGAGCAGCCAAGGACTTTTCATGTCCGATCTGTCAAGAACTACAACCTGGCGGACTTTCTTCAAAGCAGATCCCTCCATCTTCAATGCATCCACTTCCAGCAGCATGGGAACAAATTGGAGTGGACATTGCTGAATGGACAGTGCCAACACAGGACTTGAAGGTGAAATTTATTCTCTTCATTGACCTTGCCACAAAGTTTCGGGTCACAGAAACCTTATTCACTTACAAACATGGAGAATACCAGACCGAAACTGCAGACCAGGTCATTCGTGCCCTGATGCTGAGGTGGCTGGTCGACAAACCCCGACCTCGCTATGTTGTCTTCGACAATGCCAACACCATGACATCGACCAAGACGGTGGAGATCCTTGCGGACGTGGGCATTCAGCCTTTCTTTCCACCAGAAGGAGAATCGTGGGCTCATGGAATCACCGAGCGTGGAGTTGGACAAATCAAGGAGACAGCATCTCTCCTACAACAATCCCTGCCGGATCAAGACCCTGTGCTGACTTTGGCGATGGCAACTTGTGCCCTCAACAACACCGAGTTCACCAAAGGCTTTACCAGCGTACAATGGGCCTATGGCCATCAGAACCAAGTTGGAGATGACGATTTACGACAACAACTTTCACTTCCAATTGACCGACAACAACAAGAGTTCGTGCGACTGCTGACGCAACGAGATCTTGCAGAAGAATGTGCCCGCAAATCTCGAGCGAAAGTGGCCCTCTCCAAGCTCAAGAACTCTTCGATTCGACAGCCGTTGCGGACGTTCTCAATGGCTCAGCCGGTCTACATTTGGAGGAAGTTTTTGCCTCACACGATCTATGCTGGTCGCAAAGGGGGACATCGCCATACAGCAAAACCTCGATGGGTTGGTCCTGGAAGAGTCGTCTTCCACGAGCTAACTCCTGGACAACATGCTGAAGACCGCAAACATGTGGTGTGGGTGATCCTTGGGAACCGTATCTACAAGACATCGGTTCACTCCGTTCGACCTCTTTCAGAGCGAGAGATGGAATTCTTTGAGGCGAGAGGAGATGAGTCGCATCTTTGGAAGCAACTCAGTGACATGATCCCCAAGCGCGAGTTCATCGACATCACAGGTGAGGAGCCGACAGAAGAGGAGAAAGAGGAGATACCATTGCCTGAGGCGCCCAACGTGGACACCTTCCTCAAGCCTCGAGTGCGCTTCCCTGGCAAGTTTCCGATTTCTTCTGGCGGCATTCCGGTTCTTCCTGAACTTCCTGGCGGTGCAACTTTGTCCATGCCGAGTTCCTCAGCCTTGCCGAGCTCCTTGTCTTTGCCGAGACCTACAGAGGAGCCGGTCAATGTGTATGACAACATTCCTGACCCCACCAAGATGACTGAGGACGAGTTGGAACGAGAGTTTGGAGGAGAAGAGAAGAAGCAAAAGATGTCATCACATCGCAGAGATTCCACCAATTCAAAGACCCCTCTTTTGGATCGACCTGAAGGCCCACAGGAGGAAACGGTGTTGGAGGATGACCTTCCAATCCCAGAACCTGAGACGAAAAAGGCCAAGTATGAGGAGGAGGATGACTCCGACAATGGCAAGGATGGTCTTGCTTTGGACCTTTCAACTGCAATTCAAGAATCAGGAGAAGGCTATGTGATGAACATCGACCTGAACTTCGAGAGCAACAGGCAGAAGAAGCTTTTCATGGCTGATCCTGTGATCTACCTCTCCAAGAAGGTCAACTCTGCTGAGGTGAACTATAGACGTCTGACGGAGGATGAGAAGCAACTCTTTGAGAATGCCAAGAACAGCGAAGTGAGCAGCTTCCTGAAGACGCAGGCCGTTCGCCGTTGTCTTTCTTTTGAAGAGAGCCAAAAAGCACAGCAATCTGACCGAGTGCTACGTGCTCGATGGGTGCTCACATGGAAAGGAGTACCAGAGGAGAGCAGAGAGGAAGCAGCCATGGACCGCGAGAACAACAAGAAGTCAACCTACACGGCTGACCTTTCTCGCAAAGCAAAAGCTCGAATAGTGCTACTGGGTTTCCAACACCCTGATTTGGAATCCCCAGACTTCCGTACCACTTCACCGGTACAAAGCCAGCTGATGAAGCATCTCAGCCTGGTCCTTTGCTCTCAACGAAAATGGAAACTGGAATCACTGGACATGAAGACGGCATTCCTGCAGACAGGAGCAGCCGACATGGAATCCAAGGAGCTGTGGACCCCTGGTGTGCCAGAACTACGTGCAGCTCTAGGTGCTCAAGACCACGAGCTACTACGGATCTTGCGCAACGTTTATGGCAATGCAACAGCTCCACGTGGCCTCTGGAACGATGTGGACGCTACATTCGTTCGACTTGGAGGACATCGTCTTGTGGGCGACAACAGCTTTTGGGTTTGGACCGAGGAGAACGAGCAACCTCGAAATCCAGCTGATCGCTTCCGGGTGATTGGATTCGTCGGTGGCCATGTTGATGACTTCAACAGAGGAGGAGACCTGGAAAATCCAAAGTGGTTAGAAGTGAGGAGACAAATCGATGAAGCCTACAAATGGGGAACGATGAAGGAGGACGTTTTCCGACATACAGGCGTGGATGTCTCTGTCAACACCAAAGGTGAGGACCACTGGATCGAGCTCAACCAGGACTTCTATGTGGAGACCCTGCAGAATGTGGCCATTCCTGAACATCGTCTACGTGGTGATGGTTCTTTGACTTTGACTTCAGACGAGGTGGCAGCCTGCCGAGCCTCTTTGGGTGCTTTGCAGTGGGTCGCGTCACAGACCCAAATTCAAGCTTGCTCCCGAGTCAATTTGCTCCTGACCGAGCTGACGGTCAACAAGAACATCACGGTGGCGAAGGAGATCAATGACCTCATCAAGGAGGTGAGATCCAACCCTATGGTGCTACGACTATATCGACTTCCTCAAGTGCAGCATTGGCAAGACTTCGTGGTGGTGACGATGGCAGATCAAGCTCATGCCAACAGACCACAAGGAGGATCGACTGGAGGTCTTCTAACATGTCTTGGTGGTCCTGAACAACTTCATGGAGAAGCAGGACGACTGAACCCCATTGCATGGAAAACTTGGAAGTTGAAGAGAAAAGCGATCTCTACGAACGACGGAGAGATGCAGGCAACCTTGGAAGGAGAAGACCATCTTTTCCGAACGAGATGGATGTGGTGTCAACTCAACGGTTGCTGCGCGATTGAGGAGCCGAACATTCTGCTGAAGGCCAACGACCTTGTAAAGTATGTCCCTGGGATCCTCGCAACGGACTCCAAGGGCGCCTTCGACGCGATCAACAAGAACGAAGGACCCCTCTTAGGGTTGTCCAATGTTCGTTCAGCCCTTCAGGCCTACCAACTCCGGGAACAACTTTCCGAGTCAATGGCCAAGCTGATATGGATCAGTGGCGACTGGAACTTGGGCGATGCCATGACGAAGAAGCATCGTTCATCCCGAGAAGGCCTACTCCAATTCATCAAGGCTCAGATTTGGAAGCTCAAGTACGACCCTGGCTTCGTTCTGAGCGAGAAGAAAGCCCGCAAGACAGGTTTGCAAGCTGTGCAACAAATGCGACAGCTGCAGGCACTTCAGCCTTTTCCCAGTCATGACTCAAGAAAATTTCTGGATTGGTGCGATGGAACCAGCCTGATTGAGTCATGACATGTACATGTGTGTTTCTTCAGCAGGGGCTTCACCAGACCTTTGCCTCTGCAGGCCTTGAGCCTCTGGCCCGAGCAGTGAAATAGCACAGCTGCCATCCGGTGTGGCACTGGTGTCTTAGGTGTTTGCCTATTAGTTAGGCACGTGAGTTTAGATCCCCTGAAGCCATACGATTGTGAACATCAACTACTACCTCTTTGGGGATAACTGCGCACTCCTGCTACCGCAGGGCCCTTTTTTGTTCAAGCTGAGTGGGATGCACAATGCACATGTCCATCCTGTTCTTGAGGATGGCTCTCATGTGATATCTCCACAGTGGAATCCTCACTTAGATGATACGGTTTCCCTATGTACCCCCATAGCATTGATATTATCAATGTAGGTTAAACCATAATAAACCATCCCCCAGTCATCACCGTTTTTTATAGGTGGTGTTTAAACTATTCCCAGTCATTCTTGTGGTTTATAATTTATAACATTGTTTTACCCACATGATCATTGTTGAATGATATGATCCCTCCTTGCTTCGGATTCGGCATCCAAAAAACAAATCGCCCATCCGCGTCGCGCCCAGGGACCTTTCACTTTCCGCAAGAAGGCCATATGGTCTACTGGGGTCGGGCGCCCGAGATGAGGGGTTCATGAGAGCAGCGGGGCCCAGCATTTTGAGTGGAGATTTTAGCATGCATTTTGAAGCATTTAAGATGTGGATATCAGATGTTATATGGAGGTTATCATTGAAATTGATGATGGTTGATTGGTTATTGTTATGATAAAACATGTTAGTTATACTACCTGGTTTATTTGTGATCACAGCCTGAACTCAGCCAGTCGGATGGGTGCCAAGGACTAGCCCTCCGTGGTTGGGAAATCCCCGAACTAAATGGAGGTTTTAATGGGAACATCTAGTGCAAGTGGGCAATTTTCCACTGCTATGTTTGATTACCAACCCGGCCCAACCAGCAGACCACTGGTGTTTCCTGTCATCGGACCCGCCGGCAGGTGCTGAAAACTTCTCTGCTGCTGCATGCTCCATCACCTACGTGTTTTGGCGATGAGTGGGAGAGTTGATGTTGGTGGAGAAGCAACATGAAACAACAGAAAATCTGGACTAAGAACGCAAATCTATAAAACCTCAAGCAACATATTGCAACAACGGCAACACATGAGAACTCCATTATAGCTTACAAGTTTCCATGGGCTCAACATGTTTTCACCCATGGGCTCAGCGGGCTCAGCTACCAAGGGCACCACTGATGAGAACGTGAATCTGCAGTTGGTGGATTTTGGCTTGTTCAACAAGGTGCACCTCACGGGGCAGATTGAGATGATGATTGAGGTCACAAGATGTCACTGTATTCTACTTGAAATGCTGAAAAAATCCTGATTCAATCTGTCAAGTCACAAATCATCAGTATGTGTCAGTATATTACTATATATATTAATCATATATTAGCTATATTTCCCTATCAATCCTCACTTTGCCAACTGATTCCATGTTTTTTTGGTCACAGACCTCCATCTGACGCGTAACGGTACGTAACGGGACGTGTTGCCGTCACTGCCGTCACTGCCTCGGGCAGTTGGTCTATCTGCCGGAAAAGATGCTTCAGAAACACCTCAAAGACTGGTTGCCACAGTGGGAGTTTCTTGGCGCTTAACGCAACTGGGAAGATGATGGAAGGAGAGGGAGGAAATTCTGGAAACTTTCACAATTCTTTGGAACATGTTAAAAATACGCACAGTATATGCTTGTATGCTTGCAGTAAGTGAAGATGTTGTACAGTATGTTGGGAATATGTATATATGATAGTGGGGAATATATATATATACATATACAGTATATATATATATGTACTGTACTTATACATATTCATGTTTAGGGGTCGAACACATGTGTACACAATATATATATATGTGTGCAAATATTAGTAAGCAACAAACATCAAGGGAAGATTAGTGATGATGATTCAATCATAGCTATCAGTTATATGCTGAATTTTGATGTGGGAGAACCCTCGAGGGACTTGCTGGCTTTTGGTTGCGACTTCTCACCGCGACTGCTGGGCAAGACAGTGAGATGCGGACAGGTTGTTGGGATATTGTCCTGTCTCATTACCACGCATGGTAGGAATATACTGATGTTACAGGATTATATTATTGTCACATAGTACACATATATGACTTATATATATATACTGGGTACTACATACACGATACAGAGTATCTGAAATAAACATGCCCTGTCACATTGTACATCATGCAACCCATATTGATATTGTTCCTAGGCAGAGGTCGCCATTGTCAGATCTGCTGAGGCTGGTGAAGGAGCAGAGGCAGATCATCCGTGGTTTTTGCCCTGGGGGTTCAACGAACGAAAAACCCAGGGACAATGCATAGATTCCCCAGGAGGGGATATAAACAATGGTGGAATCTAGATGAATCTAGTGGAATTTCCCCATATCTATCTTACATTATCTTACTGTAACTGTCTGGAGGCTTATGGCAATCCTTTCGAGTCTTGTCCATGTCCTGAACTTTGCTTGCAGTTTTGGTACCTTGCTCCTTGTTGACGCATGTGTTGGTAGTTTTTCAATATCAGTCACACATCCACTTTGAGCTGGTAGCTTGCACCCCATAATTATATACATGTATGTTATATATGGTTTTCACAAACAATAGCTTCGATTTCATTCATCAGTCGTTTGTGCAACCACTACTTTTTGAAATATTGTATCGATTAATATGGCAACTTTGTTGATTCATTTGACCATGTATTCCGTCTGAACTGTGGTATGCACATCTGTGAGCACGATCCAGTGCCAGAATATTACGTGCAGACGATTACTCATGCTTTGATGCGTCCATATATTGTTGAACCTTCTGAAATTTTGACAACGAGGCGAGAGGGATGGCTGCCTTCTGGATTGTACGGAATTGTCTCAGCTACTCAGGATGCTACTACCCTGCAGATCAAGTTGGAGACATGCATTATGTACAGACTCTGGACCGGTGACGAGTTTCCGATTTCAAAGATTCGGACGCTCAATGATGACTGTAGCGTTGCAGGATACATCGGTGACAAGGCTGCTTTTGACTTATGCGATATTGTGAGTCATTGGAGACATGGCTACACAAGGAAGATTGAGTTTGATGACCTTGGTGGTGTTACCACTCCTATGTGGACACAGACTGGTGACACACTGGTGGAGGTTTGTCCAGCAATTCCTTTTTTAGGCGAGTGGAGTAGGTTTGCGGCCATTTTCCACTGTGGGTTCTACATTTCCTCGCAGGGACAGTGGCACACCGCAATTTCTTGTAGTTTATGTCTTACAGTGATTTGAACATTCAATTATATACTATTTTCATGTTTCATGGGCAATGACCATGTATTTGCTTGCAACCCCACCCTTGACTAGTCCTACCTGAAAGGTTGGCGCTTTCCATGTGTTTCGATAGGTTCATAGCTTCAGGATGCTTCAGGAACGTTTACAATAACTATGGAAAATCATGGAAAATCACCAATTTAATCCATTTTATAGCTGGGTAAATCAGCTATTTCCATGGCCTTTTTTTCATAGCTAGGCTATGTTTATCTCTGCTCCCCAGAGTCTTTAAACTTGACCCAAAAGATGGCCTGGGACCTGTGCGCACAGCATCATGGCTACCTTTGCTAGCTCAAACCCTATTACAATAGATGGTATATAGTGATAAATTAGGAAAAAACAATATGAACATAGTGATACTATTACAATAGATGGTTAGTGAACATATTACTTTCTATACATATTATGACATCTACATGTTTTTTTTGGTAAAGTGCGATTATCAAACATGGGGATTGTAAAGTAAAAACATCAGGCAAAACATGGTATCTACAATGTGGGGCCTCCTAGATAGCTAAGTTGCTTTATAATTCCCATAACTATGGTGTATGATACCTGCAACATCCTATAACTATAGTTAATGGGGTTTATAAACCAACTTATAACTGGGGGGCTCACAATATATATATATATATACATCATTTGTTACTTTTCTTCAAGTTTACAGGTTTTGTTTCCACACAACTCCAGCGCAGGTACAAAGTGATCAATAATTTATATAAATCCACACTTTGTAGCTGGTTCAATTCCAGTTTTTTTCGCAGATCACATGAAATCACCGAATTGTTCTCGTGGCGAGGCGCGAGAGACGATGTTTGCCCAGTGATGGCAATTGATGGGGAGCCCGGTTGGATGATGGTTTTTCTATTGAACATGGCCATAGAAATAGTGGATTTTCCCATGGAAAATGGTGGATCTTTCCATAGTTTTTTGTAAACGTTTACCAGAGGGTACACTGTCTAATATTACCGGAGGTTTAGGATTATCTATCATTTGTAGGAATCTTGTTCTAAGCCAACTTGAGTAAAGCATAGTAAAGCACTCTAGGTTGATTAATCTAGTAAAGCCAACAAGAAACCGCCCCAAAATTCCAAAATCATGGATGGAAAAAAAATCAAACACTCCCAAAGGTAGGCTAGTTGTTCTACCAAATTATACCACTATTCATATTGTAGTCTAGAAGTCTACAAGTGTAAAGTTTGGTGGTGCTACCACTACCATGATACAATAGCACGGTAAACCGAGAGGTGAACTTTACCTACAATAGGACACTGTATGTATATCATTCGATACATTGAGCATATTATTTGGGGGTATGGTATCGTGATGATCGTGACCCGACCAAACTCGGGCAACATTTTGTCATTTCACCACTGGTGTAGCCCTCGAAGTTTTTCACATCTGATTTTCTGAGTGGAGAAGTGGAGTTATTTTGGCTCAAACAGCACAGTTGAAACTGGTTGGTAATTTTCTGTTTCTGGATTTTGAGTACACTAGTCCTATAAAACTCAAGTACACAAGTTCTTCTATGCCAGTGTCTTCCAAATCTGAGTTGTAGCCTTCAAACATTTGGTGATACAAGAACATATCCATGCATGTCTCCATGCTTGCTGCAACTGTTCTGGACAATTTCAGCTAATGGGACAAATAACCTATGTAGAATATAATAGCACATAGACTATTTGTAACACTAAATCATACACTCAGATGAGTCATATGAGATGATCTTCCACACAAAAATATAGTTTCTATATAGATACACCGTAGCCGTAGCGCCGAGGCGACATCGGGGACTGGACCTCGTGGTTCGTCTTCCAGGGCCGCAGCGGCACGAAGCTGGCGAATACCACGGCGCGGCAGCTCTTGGATGTCCACCTTGTGATGGGGCTACTAGAACTGGGGGTTGTGGTTGTAAGGGTCTACGACATTGCCAACATCTTGGGATAAATGGTTGAATACAAACCCTGAAACCTACACATGTTGTCGTCTTTTTTCCCCATGTTTTCTTAGTTGACACCGTTGACACCTGAGTTTTTGGCTGAGTACCCTCTGGTAAACTAACATAGCTATTATGCTGTTGAACATGGCCATTTATAGTGATTTTCCCATTAAAAATGGTGGATCTTTCATTCCAAATGCTTGATGAATCCCACAAAACTTCCCAGGTGGTGACCATCCGCGGAACGAAGAGTAGCTCGGCAAAAGGGCAGCGGAGCTGTGTTTTTTTGTAGGGATGGGTCATGGGTCACTGAGTATATACAAGCTACCCTGCCTGGTAATTTGTTACATAACGAACTGGGTTAAGATCCACCATTTTCTATTCATGGGGAAAACTCACTTAATTTCTATGGTGATTTGTTGGGGAATCGACATCCAATCAAGGCAGCTATTTCGAATGCGATTTTTCAGGGTACCGTTTACTGGGTACCAAACTTGGGTTTCGACTCATAGCCATTTATTTTTGTGGGATGTAATTCAAAATGGTTGATGTGTTACTTAAGATTAATAATTTTTATTATCAACATGACTCAAAATGCTGATTCAAGGATGTTTAGCACGCCTATATGGAAATACTGACTACTGATGGTCAATATTATTAAGTTTTTTCCCGGGAATATCAATAATAACAATCATCAATTCCAACAGATGTTTTTTTTAATGGATTGATGATATGATGGCATATAAACGTCCTTTGGTTAATTGAGCCAGGATTCCAGGATACTGATGGGTTGATTCGTGGGATAGCCTATGTTCGCTGCATCTTTGTCTTACGACAGGAACTGACTGCACCGAAAAGGGCGCACCGCATGTTCATTTTTTTTCATTGCCATCCTTTTTGAATGGGAGGAACATCCCAAGTAGACTCAAAAAAGGGTCTGAAAATGAGACATTTTTACATATATTTACGTGGCTCCATGTTTTTCATGGGTGGAAGAAACCAGCTCCGTCGCGCCACCAGCTCCGTTGGACTACATTTTGGACTTGGATCTTTGGTCCAGCACTTGGTGTTTCCGATGGGCGCTTTGGGTTCGCCAGGTCGAAGCGACACATGGATGACGATCCCCCCCGTTTTTATTTAGGACACATAACATACATAAGTCCAACAACTGGGTTTGTGGATGTTTGAGGTAGATGTATGATTTGATGACTCTCTATACTTGATGGGTGTGATAAGCCGAGTTGACCACTGTTGCTGTTTGATGTTGATGCGGTTTTTTGTTGCAGGGGGATTGCTGGGAGAATGTGCAGTTGCAGGAAACTATCGAAACCCCAAGCAGTGGATGAGATGGCTGTCACATGTTCTATTCTCGTGCATTGATCAACGCTTGGTATCCGCAATGCTGGATCACTAGATAGTTGCTAAGCACTAAGTACATCTAAGTACTATATATATATATATAAATACTAGATACAAATGACCAACATGCATTTGCTTCTGGGTCAAAGATCTTTGTAAAAGGAATGATCAACTATTGTACATGGATGGAACTTGGGAGACAAGATAAGCTGTTCTTCGCCGCTCACCAGCTTGGACCAAATGGGCGGGGCCGCCGGGTATATATATATATATATATATAAATATATATATATATATATATCTATTACAGTATGTATATCTATCTAGTCTATATATCTATTACAGTATGTATGTATATCTATCTATCTATCTATCTGTCTGTCTGTCTATCTATCTATCTATCTATCTATCTATATCTATATATATGTATATATATATATATACATGCAGTTACATACATACATACATGAGAGGTGTTTGCAACTCAAGTCGTGACACTAAACAGGCAGGCTTAAACAGGCACATCATCCTATCCAATCTTCCCGTGCCGGGCATGCGCATGTTGCAATGCCGCAGGTGATTTTCCTGGGGAAATCATGGGAAAGCCATGGTTTTGAATCGTCTTCTGCCGGATTACCCAGGGTAACATCCATCCGAATTGCTTGAGGGTCAAGTGAAATATCTCCAGCAACAAGACTTCTGCAGTTCACAAGCTTCTAACTTCCGGAGACATCTTCAAAAATTCTTCAAACATCAAACACAAATCCGAAAAAAACACCATGGTTTCTGCGACCAGTTTCTGGTGACTCAGCAGTCGTCAGGCTTTTCCGGGTCGACAATGGACTGCCCCCAAGGCTCTGGAGTCGGTCCAAACGTCCAAAACATGGTGATTCCATGTTGTTTTTTTTGTGATCTAAGCCCACAGATAGCCCATAGATATCACGATTTCACCCCATGACCTAAATATGATCATATATGATCTAATGTGATGGGTAAACAGATGTTTTTTGCAGATATGTGTGTCGGACTGGTTTCCAAAGATTGACATCGCTCAAATCTGTTGAGTGGTTGTCATGATGTTTCATTGGTGCCAATTGGTGAGTCGGGTTCCATAGCGCTATGGCGCTTTTTGCAAAGAACAGTTCTGAAGCGGGAATGTATCGAATGGTATCGAAGCTTTGCCAATGGGAGGGTCGGGAGGGTGAATGAATATCAACCTCAGGTCTTTGTTTAACAGTTTGCTGTGGAGTTTTTAACCATGTTTATCCATTTAATGTGTAAATCATCGAAGTAAATGGGCCATTTATACCATGGCAAACTGTCAAATTTTCACGGAAAGTACAAAATGGGTCACCCTTATCCAAAGATGTGGACGACTAAGATCTGAAGTGGGATGGATACTGGTAATATTTGGTAATCTAACCTGGCCTTATTAAATCCGTTTCTAGATGATGTTCCCACGGTAGGTTTCTCGTATGTTTCCCATGGGGGATTTCCCATTGATTTCCGGTTGGCCAAAGGGTAAACGAGAATCTGTGCGAATGATGGAATTATACCGATTGTACGTGGACTAAAGATCACTGGATTGGTTTACGGGAAAATTTACAGGAAACCCATGGGTTTTACCATCAAATTGGTTGGGCTTTCCTGTAAATTTCCCCATCATCCAATTCTATGAAAAGATGACTAAAGTGGTTCATAGATGCCAATGATTCCAATGATGATATGGATTTGATGGCGGGAATTCAGTGAACTACTTGGTGAACTGAATTGGGAATGTAATGAATGGTGGTTGGGAATGATGGTTTGGTTCCAAGCTCCAGCGAGACTTGCTTCCCAACCACCGACCTGGGTGACTTCCCATGACGTGACGGGACCCGTCCTTCCCCTATAGGCGGTCCAGCAACAAGTCAGACATTCGTCATATCACCCGTTCATATTAAACACCCCAATTATATGGTCCCAATATCCCCCTTGGGGTTTCCTCTAGAAAGTGGGTATACCCAGGTATCGTTTAGAACGATAATTTTAGTCAGCCCAGGTGTGTGCACAAAGTGTTCAAAAAAATACGAAAAAAAAGATTCTGATTTTATAGAAGATTATTTGTAAACCATTTGTAAGCCAACATGCGGCTTATGACCAATTCAGGGGGACCCAGGAACCTGATTTTATAGAGATGCTATTTTTGGCATGGTTCTGATTTGTGGGCCTATAGATTTTAATTTTATAGAGGGGAGGTTTTTGATACAAATTTGGTGTTATACGCAATCGCCGCCTCCCATTACTTTTTTAATCAAGGCCCGAGGGGAATACGAAATCTCCAAAAACGAACCGGGGCCACTGAAATTAGAACCTTTGGAATTTGGCATACCCTCTGAGATAAAATCAACTTTCGGCTTAGGATGCCTGAGGATAGGTTGGGGATACGGATAATTGAGAATAACCGGGACATGTTGAGGCAAACTGGAAATGATTGGAAGATGATTGGAAATGATTGGAAATGTTTGGAAATAAATTGTTTGGACATGTTTGGAATCTGTGATTTTATGGCGGCAAGATCACGTTCTTGGTCACCTGTCCTATTTGCCCCCTCATGCCCTCTAAAAAATCAGGATTCTGCTGGATTTGCAATGGAACTTTCAACTGTGGGCTTAGGATGGCTAGGGATAGGTTGGTGATATTGAGATGGACTGGAAATGACTGGAAATGACTGGAAATTGTTTGGACATTTTCTTGATTTTATAGTGGTGGGATGTGGTGGGGTAAAATGTAAGGTGAAATTAGAACCTTTGGAAATATCCTCTCACCTTCTATAAAATCAGCTTTCGGCTTAGGATGCCTGAGGATAGGTTGGGGATAATTGAGAATAACCGGGACATGTTGAGGCAAACTGGAAATGATTGGAAGATGATTGGAAATGATTGGAAATTTATTGTTTGGAAATGTTTGGAAATTCTGTGATTTTACGGTGGCAAAATGACGTTCTTGGTCACCTGTCCTATTTGCCCCCTCATGCCCTCTATAAAATCAGGATTCTGCTGGATTTGCAATGGAACTTTCAACTGTGGGCTTAGGATGGCTAGGGATAGGTTGGTGACATTGAGATGGACTGGAAATGACTGGAAATGACTGGAAATGACTGGTAATTGTTTGGACATTTTTTTGATTTTATAGTGGTGGGATGTGGTGGGGTAAAAGGTAAGGTGAAATTAGAGCCTTTGGAAATATCCTCTCACCTTCTATAAAATCAACTTTCGGCTTAGGATGCCTGAGGATAGGTTGGGGATACGGATAATTGAGAATAACCGGGACATGTTGAGGCAAACTGGAAATGATTGGAAGATGATTGGAAATGATTGGAAATTGTTTGGAAATAAATTGTTTGGAAATGTTTGGAAATTCTGTGATTTTATGGCGGCAAGATCACGTTCTTGGTCACCTGTCCTATTTGCCCCCTCATGCCCTCTATAAAATCAGGATTCTGCTGGATTTGCAATGGAACTTTCAACTGTGGGCTTAGGATGGCTAGGGATAGGTTGGTGACATTGAGATGGACTGGAAATGACTGGAAATTGTTTGGACATGTTTTTGATTTTATAGTGGTGGGATGTGGTGGGGTAAAATTTGGTGGGGACATAGGTTTTGACAGCGTTGTGGCGCTGACGGAAAAGTGCTGGGAAGAGCGCGTTGTGATGCATTTTGAACCCACTATTATAAAATCAAAAATCCAGGTCCAGCTTCTGTCGCCATGCCTTCCAAACAGCTCCACTATAAAATCATAGACCAGGTTCCCCAACATTGAGCATCCACATGGTTAAATGGACTTTGTAAATCCACCACTTTGAACATTCTGATTTTATAGTGGATCTGATTTTATACTTTAAGATGACCTAAGGGGAAAAAGGTGTTCCAACTCTAACCCTGTCCCTAGATTCTATAGAGACTTGATTTTTACAAGCTGGCATTTGTAACTATGTGGTGATCTGTTTTTTCTTGATTTTATAGAGACGTATTTCTTGCATTCTTATTTGTTCCTGACTTTATAGTGAAAAATTGTATGCACCCATATGGTGGAACCCAGTTACCTCTATAGAATGGGGCACACTGGGTCCCAGTTGAAATTCAAAGGGGGATGTCCCAATTAAGTGGAAATTCCCTACTAAACCATGGTTTCGTTTAGGGGGTGTTTAATATTAGGGGGAAGGGATAGGTCATATTTGCCAGTCCCAGCTGTGGCCATTTTCTCTTTCTTCGCGAAAAGGCAACAACTTAGTGTCCCGGGTTTTTGTTCGCGATGTCGGCACGCTTGGCAGCCCTTTGGCAGATGAGTTTTCCGAAAGAAAAGTGGAAGGTACACTAAGAATGATAAGGAGTTCACTAACAATAAAATGGGAATGTAGATGGGTATCCAGCAAAAGTGCCTTTAGAAGCATCCATGATACTCAGTATATTGTTATTCGTTGGTTTTTCAAAAGGAAGGCACATCAGTAGATAATAAGCAAAATCATGAACATATGGGGCAATATGGGAAATATACATGAATATATCCATCTTCTATTCCAGCGTTCTTTCGGACCTGTCACCTGGAAAGCAGTTGTCCCCGGAATAGGCAGTTTGGGTAGCCACAGGACATGGCCAACGGGGTCACATGGCTTCATCATGTATCCCATGGGTCCAAGCATTCAGAGGGCCCTTGGATCCCTTGGCTTTGGGGCCCAGCTATACTCAATGGGGAATTTCAGGATCCAACAGATGGAGTTACGTAAACGTACCATATAAGGCTGGCCATATTTTCTGGGGATATTCTCTTATGCCTCAAAAATAGGCCTTATGTATCGTAGGTACCTCCAATCAATCGGTACCTGAAGTGGCGGTGAAAGAGTGAAACAGTGAAACTGATCCCACCAATACACTTCATGGAGTGCGCTAATATTATTGTCCATCTAGGGTTACCAGGGTTTGTGTATTTCTTGCACATCCCTTTTTTATGTCATTCATAGCACACACATACATATAAATACTGGTTGGTGGTTTGGAACATGGCTTTGATTTTTCCATTCAGTTGGGGAATGTCATAATCCCAACTGACGAACTCCATCATTTTTCAGAGAGGTAGGTCAACCACCAATTAGAATATATATAATATATATAGGTCTATGAATGACATAACTGGGATGTAGTTTTTTTCCATTACATGTCTATATTCATCAATATATACATATCAATCATTGATATATATATATATAACCACCTATTGTAATAAGTCTATTATAGATATGCTGAAGCCTATAGACAATTACAATATCATAGACCGTCTATATATCAATTACACTAGGTCTAATCACCACCTGGTCATCTCCAAGACCCCGAAGCTGCCCGTGCCGGTGCCGAGGAACGCTTTGCCGCATGTCGCAAGGCCAATCGCACCGCCATGGTGGCCTTCGTGACGGCGACCCGGGAGGGGACCGGGGAGGGCTGTTGGCCGTTGGATTTAATGGAGTTTAATGGGACCTTAATGGGATTTCATAGGAATTTGATGGGATTTCATAGGAATTTGATGGGATTTAATGGGATTTCATAGGAATTTGATGGGATTTAATGGGATTTCATAGGAATCTGTAGTGTCTTAACCAATATTGATAAGGATTTAATAGGACTCTGTGATGTCTGAAACACTATTTGGATTTTAACAATTGGAATCTATGAGAATATATGGGGAAAACATAGATATATTCAATGGTTAACAGTTAGCCATATAAATCCATTATATAGAACTTATTTTTACCATCAACTATTTGAATATATGGGGAACTAGTGGATAAATGATGATTTGTTTGTGATTAGAGATATTTCATAGGGGTTTTAGCCATCAAAATATGTAGAACTGGATACAAGTGACAAATGATCATTGGTTGATGACTATTTTGGGGATTATACTATATAAGCAATATACATGAACTTGGAATCCCGTTCTTAAGCAACCAGTATGATGAACAATCCATTAATTATATACAAATGGTGAAGACTCAAAGAATCTAGAGTGGATTTATGTGGAAATTCTTGGAAATTTAGAAATCGGGAAATGTGAAAATCTCTATCTAGATTTGTTCTGTCAAAAAAATAATATGTTCCGTTGCCATGTTTGATTCCCAGAGGGTGCAGAAAACAATGGGTTTCTAAAAAAATGTGCTTTGGAAAACAAATTCCCAATCAAAGACATTTTGAGGGCGTCCCCTAGTTTGTAGAAACCCAAAAGGATACCCGAGTCCTTGAAAGATATTTGGGTATGGGTCAATACCTATTAATACCATTTTTAGTGGGATGAACATCCATTTACCAGCTATTTTGGGGTTCACTAGGTACCAGGGTTTTGACCCATCCCCATTTGAAAAACATGTTTTGGACGATCACACATCCAATTCTTGAAATGTGTTCCTGCACCAAGGTACCCAGCAACCAGAAACCCGGGGATGGCTACCAACTTGGGACACGAACTTTTGCAATCACACCTATGATCCATCATTTGTGGTTGATATTTGCGCAGAATCAAGTGTTTTTTCCCTGGATGTATGGCCCTGATGCACTTGTCAGCCATGATATTCCATTTACTAGTCAGGTGGTCTCAAGTCATTGAGATACCCTCTGGTTATTTAACATAGCCATGGAAAATGGCCCATTTATAGATGGTTTACCTATTAAAAATGGGTGGATCTTTCCATGGCAAACTGTTAGTCATAACCAGATGGTAGTCAACAGAGGGTATGAGGATTAGCCAAGCTGCTCCATTACCACCTTTGAACATCTTTGGTTCAGGCGGGCTATCCAAAGAAAGAAGACACCGTGCCAGCACTTTTGGAGTTAGAAAAGCAAGGCGCAAAGCTCCACCGACTCCAGCGGCACCCTGGGTAGCCGGCTGGTGGCTGTTACCTTCCACGGTCTCATACGTAGATTCCCATAGATTATTTGTTATAGTATTATTCTCTTATGGCTTACAACTGAAATTCCTTTCTATATCTTGCCAGCGCTACGTATATAGTGATATCCCAAGACACGCACTCTCAGACTTGTTTGAAGAAAGGGACAGGAAGCTACCAACAAGCGGATGGTACAGGATGAACATGTTCGCACTCATCCAGTGATGAAGTGGTTCTCTTAAACTTTGGGGTCCCCAGGGTTCCTGCAGCTTCCCATCCCCTTTACATTAACCCCCGCTGCCAGAAACCATGATTTGACAAGGGATTTACACAGATGTGGGTGATTTAGGGGGTGTTTAGTATTAGGTAGTTCCAAACATGATTACCGTTGTTGCCTGAAACCTCCGGATATGTCAACCCCGGATAAATCAATCCCTTGGCTGTTTCAATGAGGGCCTAGTATTGAATGGTGGCAATTAAAACAACTGTCTTGTGGTGACCCCAAATTTTGAATGAGCACCAGGGTTAGCATTTATCTCCCGGCTGAACAGTAATGGGATGAAATGGATCATGTCAGATACAGCCACCTAAGATTACGGATAGTGGTTCATCTCTGGATAGTGTGGTGTATTCTCATACAGTCCTCTAGCAAAATGACTAAAGATAAACTGGTACGGTAAATATGTTCCCACTATTTCCCGATTAAGATTTCCTAATCAACATATAATATATTCATTCCCCAACATATATTATAATGCCATGATTAGCCAATTACTTGATAAATATAGTTGTTTACATCCCCAACTATTTAACATGATACGAGGGTTTTTGATTAGTAGTTAATCACTATGTTGAACCATTCATCACCATTTGATAAGTTGTTACCCTCGGTAATTCAACGTAGTGTGCTGGAAAATTCCCCATTTAGTTCGATGATTTCCCAGCCAGGTGTGCTTCCCAGAAGGTAAATCACATTAAATAGTTCATTCAGTATCCAATACTTGGATTTGCTGAAGATGATTGTTATTATATGTTTTTCCATGGGAAATCCACTACGAATCTATAGGGAATATGTTTAATTTTTCGGTGGTTCCTTAAGCAAATCCACGATTATAATAAATGATTCACTATTATGAACGTTCGTATTTCCTTATGGATTCAGCATGAAACAATCATGAAGTATCATGAACACTCACCATGAAAATTCATCAAATATCATAAATCACCATTAAATTAGAAAAAACACCATGAAACATAGGATTTCCCCATAGAAGTTCCCCTTTTTTTTCCTCAAAAAAAGATAGGCGCCGACGTCATCGAGCTGGGCGTGCCCTTCAGCGATCCCATGGCCGACGGCAGCGCCATCGAGGCCGCTTCGGTGGTGGCCATCAAGAACGGTGCCCTGGCGACGGCGGCCGCACGGCGTGGAGTCGGACAGTATGATGGTGGGATACAATGGATATAATGGATATAATGTGGATATATTACATAATGGATATTAAGTGGATATATTACACTAATTGATATTATTTGGTGGGTAACTTGCCATATGGTTTTGATGGTTTCTTTACGGGGCATGATGGCTGGGACTACCAAAATCGATCCCTGCAGCACTTTCGTGCTCAAAGCAACCTGGAGAACTACAATAGCCGGGACCGAGCAGCCACGCAATGATGTGGCCAATTGGAGAGGCATGGGATGCGGTTCTCTGTGGAAAAAAACTATTGGGAACAGGGCTTTGGAGGATATAGCTGAAATGTAAACCACTATACACTAAGACCATGGTAGCGCATGAACATGAAACCGAATTTTGCGTTAAATTTTAATTTTGGCTGAGACTGGGTTTGGGCCTTTTCTCTCTCTCTACAGCCCTTTCCATCTACAGCTGTTTTGCCCGGAGCCATTTTAAAATAGCTTCGTATTCTTGCCGTAGCTATTTTTTACCGCAGCCATTCTCTCTCTGCAGCCCTTTCCGCCTGCAGCTGCTTTTCCCGGAGCCATGTTAAAATAGCTTTAGCCGTTTCCTGTAGCCATTTTTCATTGCAGCCATTCTCTCTCTGCAGCCCTTTCCATCTACAGCTGTTTTGCCCGGAGCCGTGTTAAAATAGCTCTAGCCGTTTCCTGTAGCCATTTTTTATTGCATCCATTCTCTCTCTGCAGCAATTTCCATCTACAGCTGTTTTGCCCGGAGCCATGTTAAAATAGCTTTAGCCGTTTCCTGTAGCCATTTTTCATTGCAGCCATTCTCTCTCTGCAGCCCTTTCCATCTACAGCTGTTCTGCCCGGAGCCGTGTTAAAATAGCTCTAGTTGTTTCCTGTAGCCATTTTTTATTGCATCCATTCTCTCTCTGCAGCAATTTCCATCTACAGCTGTTTTGCCCGGAGCCATGTTAAAATAGCTTTAGCCGTTTCCTGTAGCCATTTTTCATTGCAGCCATTCTCTCTCTCTCTGCAGCCGGAGCCGTGTTAAAATAGCTCTAGCCGTTTCCTGTAGCCATTTTTCATTGCATCTATTCTCTCTCTGCAGCAATTTCCATCTACAGCTGCTTTGCCCGGAGCCATATTGAAATAGCTCCGTATTCTTGCCGTAGCCATTTTTCATTCCAACAATTTTCTCTCTGCAGCCCTTTCCGCCTGTGCGTCTGAACCGATGTGCATATGTGCACAGACCGCAGGGATGTCGCCAGGGAGCGGCCTGCCGATTCTGCCATATTCATCCGGTCTCTGATGCGGACTACAAGAAGCGAACAGGCGAGGCTGGGGTAAGAAGGAATCAGCGGAGCAGAAGAAGGACCGGCTGGCGGCTCACGAAGCAAAGAAAGCGATTGGCCAAGAGCGAAGGCTGGCCAAAGCAGATCTTCAGGGCTATTTGCGCTATGGCAAGGTATTGCAGTGTGGCGATAATTCCTGCTCTATTTCCATCATGACCACCTTGCGGTCAACTGACCGTGCAGCAGCAACTGCTGCTCAGGTTGCCAAGGACCTTGGCATCGACGCGCGGGACATCTTTATCCGCCTAAATCTCGACTTTAAGAACCCCAACCATTTTGAGAGCACTGACTTTGTCATGGGGTATCAAGCCTATTATTTGGCCGTGGCTTACAGGGTCCTACCTGATTTGATGCTGCAGCAAGATCAAAAGGCGGACATACATTTCCTCCTTGAAGACGACTGTGTCCTCAACGTGCTTGAAAAAGAAGGAGTTCTGGAGGCGTTGGTGTCCAAGTTCAAGGATGCCCCTCTTGCATTTTTGGGGTACTATATGGTGTTGGTACGAGCGGAAAAAGTGGACGTATGTTGCCCCACCACTGTACGCAGCCACAAGTTCGTCCATCCTCTCTACGAGCTCATGTCTTCCAAGAAGCCTGATGATGTAGATTTATTTTTCATGGGACAGGTCCCAGACATGGCCTTCGCGTCCCAGCCAATCCGGCCATCAATCTGACTGTGCAGACAACCAGGACATGCGACAAAGCTACCTTTGCCCACAGGTTTCCATTCATGACATAACCTGCCTCAACTGGACGAGCAAGCCTCATTGGGAGAAGCTCCGCTTGGATCTCTACAATGCGCATCTGCAACGTCACTCCAAGACGAGGAAACGGGCGGATATGGGCACGGCTAGTGAGTTTGCCGCAAAGAGGGCTCGGCCGTCAGGGTGAGAGCTCATTCGCGGTGCAAAAATGGTTGGTTGGAGTGTTGGCTCTGAAAGTGTCAGGGATTAAGAAGGTGGTGTGTTTGAAATCCAAACTGCTGAACCTGCACTGTCGGCGAAAGGAGCGCCGTGACAGTGTTGGGTATAGTTGTAACCGGATGGTTAGCACGTATTTTGGGTCATAGGGACGGTGAGGAATCTTGCCACAATGGCTCCGGCATCTTCCTTGGTGGCTTGCCAAAATTATTTGCTGCTTCTTTGCAGCATTCTGCCAGGTCATGGCCATCCTCCCGCGGGAGATACGCTGCATTTCTGCCTTGCTATGGCAGATGGCGCGCGCGGCTGGTCTTTAAGGCCGGCCATGGGGTAGCCTGCAGCGGCAGCCAGTTTCAATGTTGATTTTGGCTTTCTTTCTTTTTGGGCTCAAATTGGTTTCTAGGAACTGTCCATGACCCCCCGGAATTCCAAACTGCGGGGTGGCCACAATGCCGAATGGCAATGATGACGGGCCTGGCGCTGATGGCCACAAAGGCCCTGGCAAAGATGGGCACCTTCGTTAGAATTTTGCTGGTTTCTATAATATAGTGCAGCTGGCAAAGTCTTTAAAATATTTAAAATTGTTTCTCAAGCTAGGCAGCCTCCAGCTAAGGCACAAAGGCTACAAAGGGTCGATGAAGGGCAAGGAAGTGGATCCTGGGAAGCTCGTCTTTCGACCGGCGTTTTCCTGTTCCACATACATGTTTCTTCTATAAAAAGCCATGTCTGCATATATCTGAGGAAAGGCAAGGGGAAGGTTGCAGCAGCAGCAGGGATGCCGCAATGCCTTCCAGCTGGCAGTAACCCATCCATGGCCTCGGCACACCCAAAAGTGCAAGGACAATGGGTGCACGCAGTGCTTTGGCTGCCTTTCGCCCCGGGAGCACAACCAACTGGGCTTCCGCCACCTTGGATCTTTGCACCACCGCCGCCTGCGCCTCCGAGGGCTAGAGAAGAGTCTTCGGAGTCGTCAGAGGACAGGCGTCAAAAGTTTATTTTCTCAACAGTGAACATCTTAAAGATCCTCCACGTGCGTAGGATTCAGAAGATGACAAGAAAGGAGCCGACAAGAGACGACCTGAAACTCCTCCGAAAGCAGGCCGCTCGCTGTCTTTTGTCCAAAACTTACACCAACCAACATATTTATTTCGGCTCTGTCTTGCCTGCAGGTGGCCATGGTCCCACTGGTGCCAGACCAAAGGCATCGTCTTTAGATCTGAGCCACGCTTGTGCTGTAGCTGGCCTGAGCTCTGGGTCGCGGCCCGAGTCGCGGCCATCTCCAGCGCCACCGGTACCAGATGATGCTGCACGCCGGGCCTTCCAGCACATGATGGAGTTCATGCAGAAAGAGATGAACTGGACCCCTGGTGCCTCGGTGTGGTGTCATGTTTCATGTTATTTCTGTGGACCGGTGCGCCATTCCACACAGAATTGCCTCCTCATTTCTTTTTCTCTTTTCTTCACTTTGCCTCTGAAGGTGGCCGTGTGGCTGCCAACTCCGAACCTCCGCCTGCCAGTGTAACTTCAGATTGCGGAGCCTTGGAGGAAACAGCCAGGGCAATGACAGAGCCAGAAGCAACGGAGCCTGACCCTGAAAACACGCATGATACCAGAAGAAGTCGCCGCCGCCGCAAGTCCGATAGAGAGCACAAGGATAGGGATCGAAGCCGCAAAAGGCGGCATGGTCACCATCGCTGAGACGTGACCAGAGACTGCAAGAGACCAGAGGGCGCATGGCAAAAAAGTGTTCTCTCAGTCAGTGCGTCAAACATTTCAGTGGCTTCACTTGCTCCTTTCTAATTTCTTAAGTTTGCCGTGCAGGCGCTATGGCGAAGCGCTGCGCTCGCTGCAGGAAAGGCCTCCAAATCAGGCCCAGGCGGCCAAAGCGCGCAGAGCCGGGCGCTCCAACCAGCAGCCGTCAGCCAATGCATGCAGCATTGCCAGTTCAGGGCGCCCCTGGCTTGTTTCCTGCGGCGCTGAATGCAAGGGTTCTGCAGCTGTTCTCTTGGTAAGTTTGATTGATGCAGATTTGGGTTCTTAGTAAGCCACGAGTTACAACAACTATCCTTGCATTTCCCAACCGTGTTTACAGCCACCTTACCACGATTATATATATATATATATATATATATTCGGATTTCCCAAGTAATATTTCTCATTTTTCTCCATGATGCCGCCCTTTACCATCATCATATACCCTATAGATCAGGTTAGGCTATTAAGAGCAAAATATCTTATAGGTTATCTGTAGTCTATTTTCTATCTAATAGTCAGGATGCAAATAGGATATGCATAACCTAACCTCTGGGAAATAGGATAACCTATTGTCTAACCTATTGTCTAATTCCTAGCAAATAGGATAACCTATTCTCCAGCAGTTTGGAGGAAACTGCTGTCAAACTGCTGTTCATCAGTTTCAAGGCTTGTTGTTTTCATTGGAAATTATTGGAGATTGTTGATGATTATTGGTGATTATTGGTGACAGTCTGAGTGCTTTTCAAGGATGCTGGCCAATGTTTTTTCATTGGTGGACAGTTGCTGCTCTTGTGGGGATGTGGTTGACTCAAGTGGCCTGTTTGTTATTTTGGCTCAATGCTCTTGCATGTTCATGTCTTAACAGAACAAAGGGCTGGTGGTGGTATACATCAAAGATGTCCACCACCAACAGCTCTCTTTTCCAGCCTTGGGCAATGGAAAGGTCTTGAA